ATGATTTACCGCTAATGGAAAACGATGACTTTTAATCAAGGTTATAGAAGTGAGCAATCTGCATAGTCAATATTCAAGTGAATTTTTAAATATAAACTGACCGAGTCCTGGATAGCTAAATCAGTCAGGGTGACAGTTGGATATGCGACCTAACAAAAGGGGAATAGAGGCTTTATAAGTGCAGTAAGGGACACCAACAGATAGCTGCTTTCGGCAAAAAGTTACAAATTATGCCTTAACCCTTACCTTTATACTTATAAATCTTAAAAAAGGAACATCCAATTTGAATAAACTGCATAAACCGACTGTACAACATATGAAGAATAAATGCATATAAAGAAGACATAATTTGCAACCAAGAATATTTTCGTGTATGTTTTCTATAAAATATATTTGAATTTATAAAGGCAGTCAAAATCCATTATAAAAATGCATAGTATTTGAGTAGCCGTTTATTACAGAATATATATTTTATAGCGGTCAAAAGAAGTTTATTAAAAATCCGGCATCGTGACCTGACGTATTATAACCCTACTTAATGTTGGAGCCGTACAAACAGGGAAAAGGTAAAAACCAAGGCCAACAACACGTTATTCCATACGAAGTGACATCATTCCGTGATGACTTATTGCACTGAAAGGTACAGTTTGAAAAAAAAATCTTTTCAACTTAAACTTCCGTGACGGCCGTTGCTGAAGATATAATTTCAGTTGGTAACACTTGTAGCGTGGACATTAAGCTTGTGTCTAAGGCCTAAACTCTTAACCACTACGCCTTATTCTGGCCCTGTTTTTTACCTTTAATCATTACCTTTAACTCATTAATTGTAACCTTCTACCGAATTCTGATAGGCGAGCGAGACATGACAGAGAATACGCGAACGCGTAGTGCACTAAATGACGGCTACTCTCAGTGTCATTTATTACTGACTCTTACAAGAAGTAATCCTATCGCAACTGTTCGTACTTTTTAAATCCTTTTGCTTTCACATGCTCGTGTGATTATTAAAGTCAATGCCTAACATGCTTTTAGTTGGCACTTTAATTCGTGAATACATACCATTGTTTGTGAAGGTAGAATTAAATGGAATAACTAATGCAAAATATTTTCTGGGTGGTGTCTCTTTGTGATAATTGCATGCTTAATGTATAATTTAATTCCAGGTTTTGATAGGGACATGCTTGAGTCGTTTCTGAATGCGGGAAGCCGTTTGGAGAACCCAGCATTGTCCGGATTCACCTGTTCCGATAAACTTTATCAACTGATGTATTCTTGCTGGAACCTGGATCCCAACAAACGCCCACCATTTAAAGAGATCGAGATCAAGTTAGAGGAGCAAATTGCTGGCGATGGGTATGACCCCGAACTTCACGAGCGAAGGGAGGATTGAGGGGAGTTACTTTTCTAATCCGAGACAGGCATGATGTAGTTTCTTTCGAAATCTTTTTCATCATGAAGGCCTTTGAAATGTTGACTTGCAGACCTATTGTTTTCCTAACAGATTTTCCAAAGACGTTTTCAACGCGAAGCATTTTTTTCTGGCTATAAACGCACATAAAAGCTTATTTTTCTAATTTCAATTTACACGTTATCCATGTATTATATCATCTTATCATACTGTTTTTTTATTGGTTTCGCCACTCGTAGAAATGGATGGGTAAATAAAATTCAAGGAATTTATGTTTGAAAATTCGGGTAAAATAAATTGTTTTCAGATCCGTAGGCTCGTTTGATTAACCGTCAGGGCATATGCACGTGACATTACCTTACAACCATTCAAAATACAATCAGATGGGCATCCTGAGGGCGACATATTTTGTGAGTGTAGGCTGAATAGCAATTGGTTTTGTAATACGATTTGCAGTAAAACCTTATTTTGTGAATCAATTGGCCTGATCCCCCTAAACCACAACAAGTACAAAATGTACAGGGTTGAGATAGGGGCTAGGTTGATGTTCACGCTCTCACTGGGTTTCAGGCCCCACCTCAGGTGTCCGAGCAGCTAGACGGTCACTAGACAGTGGGGGAGAGAGA